ATTTTTGTATCTTAATCCGATATCTTTTTCGGCAACAACTAAAGCATCAACATGACGTAACTTTTATTATATATATGTTTATATTTTCATTTCATTCGTTTTTATAAAATCGATTTGAATTTTTTCCCTTGCTAGGTTGAAAATATCACCTGGTAACCTTGATAATTGTTAGGTAGTGCCAAATATCTCCTATTTGTAAATATGGTAGCCGTTAATTATTTGTATTTAGGCATGATCGATGTGTAATTAATTTTTATTTATTTTATTATGTACATTACTGTAAATTTAATTTTAGTTAAAAAAATTACTGAAGTGATAAAATCCACCCTTGAAGCTATGTTTAACGATGTGGTTTGGTGTGTGTAGGGCGAAGATGGCAATGCATTATCAAAGAGTCCTCCCGGCGAAAAAGGCGATGCTGGTGAACCAGGTCCTAAAGGTGATAGGGGAGATAGGGGTTTTACAGGCTTTCCAGGTACCTATACCACAAGTGGGGGGCATGTAGAATTTATAGAAACAAATACTAGGGATACTTAGAAACCTAACATTTAGTTATTTAGAAAATTTTCTAACAACAACAAAATGAAGAAAAATACTCAGAGGAAACGGTTTATTTTTTCTGTCACATATTAAACGAATAAAGAACAAATTTTCGTTTTTTTAAGTACTTTTTGATTATGTTGATAATTGGAAATCATAGGATTTCTCAAATAAATTAGTGCGCATATCGACTCCTTTTTATACAAGGTATATTACAATAGCTTTCCGTTTGAATTACAAGTAGAGAAAATCTAAATAAAAAATTTTGAATCGTAAAATGTACTAGTATTATCAGTAAGTACGGGTATAAAATTTTTGCGAAAAAAAAAAGTGTATTTAAATACTCGTTTACCACTTTCTTAAAATACGGCTGATGAAAAAACCTCCAAGAATTTAGTTAATAATTCTTCCAGAACCGTATCATCAATTTTGAATCACAATTTGTTAGTTCAGATTACCTAAACATTCAATATTTTTTTTCTCGATTTTAGGTAGGAAAAAATTATAGATATCACCTCTATAGATTAACACTATCACTTTTCAATGTAAAATAATTATTCGAATTTAATACTTTTAAATAAATATGCACTGAGGAGTATTTATTTAATGTGCTTGATGTCTCAATTGATTCAATTTTTCAAGCTTTATTCCACTTTCATTTTTTTTATTACCAGTTATATTATTATTTCAGAATATAGAACCATCATCACCAAAAATCCTGGCAAAAGAAAATGAAACTTAATTAGTAATTAGAAAATGAGCATAAAATGTTAATCAGTAAAAAAAAGTGAAAGAAAAGCATTATATCCGGAGACCTTATAAAAAAAATTGTGAATAATATTTAAATCTTGCTGTATCATAATACAGAGATGTAGCAAAAATACCCGTATAAATATTTTAATGAAAAAACTTTTAACAACACCGAATGCAACTTTTTAAGTGACAACTATTTGAATTCAAAGCTAATTTAATACCAATTCTTACCAAAAATTCTTGGAGACTGAAGAAAATGACATTAAAAATAAATTTAACCTTTACAGTAGGTATTATACAAACGAAAATTTAATTTCACATAACAAAGTACAAAAAGTATAGTGTATTCAATTTGAAATAAAAAATATTTCACGGTTTGAATATTTGAGGATATGAAACTGGAACACATTATTTTTTAATTTATATTAACTATAAGATTTAATTTATATTAAATTTAAGATTTAATTTAGGTATATTAATTACAANGATCCGTTTTCGAGAAAAATCGATTTAACGAACACTATGTTTTGATAATACGGGAAATTAAAAGTGAAACAAACCAAATGTTTCTTCGTGTTATTACAACAATTAACAATAAAACAAATAAAATACGTAATTATGATTTAAAGTAATTGTTCGAAGAATCCACCGTTGACACTTTACACGTTTTCTGAGAGATCTTCGAGTTTGAAACAACATATTAGAATTGCGTCGGACTTCGTTGGTAGCGATTTGTATTCCTTACCACAACTCTTCACACGAGCCAATATATTCTTTGTAAACTATATCTTTTATTCGAGGCCAAATAGAAAAATCAAGAGATTTGAAGTCCGGACTTCTGGGTGGCCAAGCAAAAAGCAAGCAATCCTCCGAGAAAAATGCGGTGGAGCCCCGTCGTGCATGAACCACATGTCTCTTAAATAAAGTGGAACTTCTTCAATCCGTGGAAGCATTTTTTTCAAACTCGTAGATCTCTCAGAAAACGTTGTGTGAAGTGTCTAAATGTTAACGGTGGATTCTTCGAACATTGACTTTAAATCATTATTATGAATTTCATTTGTTTTATTGTTAATTGTTGTAATAACACCAAGAAACACTGTTTGTTTCACTTTTAATTTATCGGATTATCAAAACATAGTTAAATCGATTTTTCTCGAAAACGGATCGAGATACCGAAATGATAGAAGAATACATAATTAATGGAAAAATGATTGCTCTTTCAGGTTTTGAATCAAATTTTATGTTAGACATACAGGGTAAAAAGTTATTAACTAAATTTTCTGTAAAATTGGTCGTAAGTGGCGCCTATGAGTAACGCTGAAATTGCAACACGCATCTTATTCGTCGCTTAAAAAATATAGTTTCACAGATTTTCAAGTTCCTAACCTACATATTTTCAGAATAATCGCAAAAAAACGATTTAAAATTTTAACTTTCAACACCCTGTATTTCCGAAACTTCGGATAAGGCATGTTTGCGCCAATGGTCACCATTTCACGTGTAGTATCTTCAGCTTTCGATTTTCCCATTGTTAATTAATCACCCTGTATATATGTTTATATTTTCATTTCATTCGTTTTTATAAAATCCATTTAAATTTTTTTCCTTGCTATATTGAAGATATCACCTGGTAACCTTGATAATTGTTAGGTAGTGCCAAATATCTCCTATTTGTAAATATGGTAGCCGTTAATTATTTGTATTTAGGCATGATCGATGTGTAATTAATTTTTATTTATTTTATTATGTACATTACTGTAAATTTAATTTTAGTTAAAAAAATTACTGAAGTGATAAAATCCACCCTTGAAGCTATGTTTAACGATGTGGTTTGGTGTGTGTAGGGCGAAGATGGCAATGCATTATCAAAGAGTCCTCCCGGCGAAAAAGGCGATGCTGGTGAACCAGGTCCTAAAGGTGATAGGGGAGATAGGGGTTTTACAGGCTTTCCAGGTACCTATACCACAAGTGGGGGGCATGTAGAATTTATAGAAACAAATACTAGGGATACTTAGAAACCTAACATTTAGTTATTTAGAAAATTTTCTAACAACAACAAAATGAAGAAAAATACTCAGAGGAAACGGTTTATTTTTTCTGTCACATATTAAACGAATAAAGAACAAATTTTCGTTTTTTTAAGTACTTTTTGATTATGTTGATAATTGGAAATCATAGGATTTCTCAAATAAATTAGTGCGCATATCGACTCCTTTTTATACAAGGTATATTACAATAGCTTTCCGTTTGAATTACAAGTAGAGAAAATCTAAATAAAAAATTTTGAATCGTAAAATGTACTAGTATTATCAGTAAGTACGGGTATAAAATTTTTGCGAAAAAAAAAAGTGTATTTAAATACTCGTTTACCACTTTCTTAAAATACGGCTGATGAAAAAACCTCCAAGAATTTAGTTAATAATTCTTCCAGAACCGTATCATCAATTTTGAATCACAATTTGTTAGTTCAGATTACCTAAACATTCAATATTTTTTTTCTCGATTTTAGGTAGGAAAAAATTATAGATATCACCTCTATAGATTAACACTATCACTTTTCAATGTAAAATAATTATTCGAATTTAATACTTTTAAATAAATATGCACTGAGGAGTATTTATTTAATGTGCTTGATGTCTCAATTGATTCAATTTTTCAAGCTTTATTCCACTTTCATTTTTTTTATTACCAGTTATATTATTATTTCAGAATATAGAACCATCATCACCAAAAATCCTGGCAAAAGAAAATGAAACTTAATTAGTAATTAGAAAATGAGCATAAAATGTTAATCAGTAAAAAAAAGTGAAAGAAAAGCATTATATCCGGAGACCTTATAAAAAAAATTGTGAATAATATTTAAATCTTGCTGTATCATAATACAGAGATGTAGCAAAAATACCCGTATAAATATTTTAATGAAAAAACTTTTAACAACACCGAATGCAACTTTTTAAGTGACAACTATTTGAATTCAAAGCTAATTTAATACCAATTCTTACCAAAAATTCTTGGAGACTGAAGAAAATGACATTAAAAATAAATTTAACCTTTACAGTAGGTATTATACAAACGAAAATTTAATTTCACATAACAAAGTACAAAAAGTATAGTGTATTCAATTTGAAATAAAAAATATTTCACGGTTTGAATATTTGAGGATATGAAACTGGAACACATTATTTTTTAATTTATAGTAACTACAAAAGATTTAAGATTTAATTTATATTAAATTTAAGATTTAATTTAGGTATATTAACTACAAAAGATGTTGAATAGCTTGAAACTTATGAAGACATTTCTTACTTTACGTCTGCTATGAATCTACAAAAATATATGGTGTTTCCTTTAAAATAGGGACGCTGACAGGTACTTCCATATATAGAGGACCGGAAGTAAACATTATTTTAATTTAAAGGATAATAGATACCTAGAAACTCTTAAGATTTTAAAATTTCTATTTGGGTTCCCTCTCCATATAATTCTAACCAAAGGCCATCATGGCAAATCTGTTATGTAGGTATACATCACTTTGTTATAATTTTCCTTTTACTTTTTAAATATACCTGTAATTATTTGTTTATGGCATTATAAATCGTTTTTTATTTAACTGGATTTTTACCACCTTAAATGAAACGAGTTAGTTCCTATTTTTTTTAAATATGTTTTCCCATCTAAATCTTTCTAATTGACCTGATAATTTGAAGGCGAGAAAGGTGACGTTGGTCTAATGGGCCCTCCTGGTGTACCCGGACTAGACGGCCCACCCGGCCCACAGGGCCCACCTGGTCTTCCTGTAAGTTTTGTCCTTGCCGACACAAATTTATATTTACAATATTTTAACTTCCATAGGGACTTATCGGTCCAAAAGGTGAGAAAGGCGAATATGGCGATATTGGACCTCCAGGACTGATGGGTCCTCCTGGTCTACCGGGTCCTCCAGGTTATCCTGGACAGAAAGGAGAGAAGGGAGAAAAAGGCGAATCGGTAAGTTGTTTGAGTACCACTGCTATGACAATTTGGCAAGAGTTTAGAATGAAATTGCTTTTTCTAGTAATTAAAGATCTATGAAACTATGAACTAAAGAATATTGACACTTACATATTGATGTTAAGTGTTATTTGATATTTTGCTAGAAAATTAATTTTCACAGTTTATTAATATCTTTACATACAAGAGTACTTACAAAAATTATTTTTTTAATCTTGTTTATTTTCATCACGACGAAATGTGATGATTGGCGCTTCCACACCAATGGCTGTTTCTTAACTTCTGGTTAATAATATGTACTCAGACTCATCTACAGTTTTAAATCATATATGGAAGGTTGGAAATTTTAGATATGAATTAGGCAACAGGCTGTGCAAATTTTATCAAAATTTATATTTAAGACATCCTCAAGCAGGACACAAACAATTAACTCAGTCTCTCAATTTTTAAGTGATTAATATTTGTTCAACACCATTCTTTGCGCTTTATAATTTCGTTTCTTCGATGCCAAAGTATTTAACGCTTTTTTTATAAAATAATTTTATAATCGTCCTAAAATTAAGTTAATATCAATACAAAATATCGCGAACTTTCTGTGATATAAAATTATCATTGTATACAATTCAGTAAATGTCAATATTTTTTATGGACTACAAATTGGCTGCTAGTATAAAATTTACAAGTAATATGCATACAGTATTGAGTGGAAGAAAATAATCTGTATTTTTATTAGTCCAAAAGTGATTTTTTATGTGTCAGTTTTCAATACTTGAAGGTATTGTCTTCCACTGAATATAATTTTTTTATATTTCTTCCCTTATTTTTGGAAAGTGATACATTTTATACTATTTTATTAACTTTCTACTACTAGAATGAACTTAAAAGCACTAAGTACTGTCGATTTTTGTACGTTCTAATGCTTGTATTTTTCTTTTTCCGGAATGGCTTGCAACCTACAGAAGTACAAAAAATTGAGAAGGCGACAGGTAAATATTTTATGCAATCTATGAACTACCTAAACGAGCTTTACTAACATAAAGCAGCGATTTTGTTGACAACTTTATCTTTTTTTATTTTTCTATACTGTTCCAGGGAGACGGTACCGGAGAAGTGACCGCCGGCGAGGTGGTGAGTGTAAAAATATTTAAACAGTAGTATTTGTAGAATAAAAAAACTAAATTTTTTTCGTTTGAGAAAAAAAATTCTAATATGCTTCTTAATGCATTGACTGAATTGGATAAACCTTCAGTCTTTTATGCGAGATGTATTTAAATGAAGAGGCACAAATCACGTTATTGTACTTCATGCCATTTTGGAGGTATTCATTTCGAGGTACAGACGAAATACTTTTTAAGTTGGTTAAGTTAAACATCATGTACTTCACAAATGAAACGAGTTCGAACTAAAGTATATTTTGCCTCGTTTCGGCCTCGAGATTACCTGATTTGTGCTTCTTCAATTGTTTATATTCTCCTAAAATTCGCCAATTCCTGGTTTTTATATTACAAACGCTACAACAAATAGGGCTTTTCTAATCTTCATCATTCATTCATCTATTCATTAGTAAACAAACTTCTTGTTGAACGCAGTAAGATACGTTTATGAAGGTATTTGGTAAAGAAATGTGTTAATCATTCTTAACAGGTTATGGGCCCACCAGGACCACCTGGTCCTCCTGGAACGCCAGGATTACAAGGACCTCCTGGCATTAAGGGTGATAGAGGAATGGATGGAATAAAAGGCGAACCGGTAAGAAATATGACAAAAAAATTTCTTTTCCATAGTGCAATATTTACTTTCTTTATACTAGTTACCTATACATAGATCATTGGTCAAATGTTCAAAAGCAACAAATTACTTAAATAACAGAGTTGAAAATATATACAGGGTGTTAATTAAGTGTGTACAATAAATTCAACAGTGATTTTTAGACAAAAAGTTCATATAAACATTGGTCCGCAGATGCTTCGTTTTCAAGATACAGGGTGTTATACCTTTGTAAAAAAAATTGCTATTTCGTAAATATCTTAAATACACTGTACCCAATTTTGTTGTAAATTGGCAGTGTTAGGTACTTGTAGTGTTAAGGAGCTAATTTAACCCTAACTTGATTAGATTTGATAAGTCCAGTAGCGTCCCGAGCGGTACCTTAACGAATATTTTTGAGATGTACGCCAGACTTTTTTGTAATTTTTATATTTTTTTGGATTAAACAACTAAAAATACAACTTTTTTGTCTCTTGAATATTTTTCGTATCTGATTAATTTTTGGAGAAAAAAATAAAATCCACTTAATTGCATCCCTGGACCATACAAGAAACATTATTGAAAATATTCGTTAAGGTACCGCTCGAGACGCCACTGGACTTAACAAATCTAATCAAGTTAGGGTTAAATTAGTCCCTTAATACTACAAATAACACTGCCAAATTACAACAAAATTGGGTAAAGGGTGTTTAAGATACATATTTACGAAATTTTTTAAGTTTAACACCCTGTATCTTGAAAACGAAGCGTCTGCGGACCAATGTTTATATGAACTCTTTGTCTTAAAATCACTCTAATAATCGTCTGTTGAATTTATTGTACATACTTAATTAACACCCTGTACAGTGCTACTCACATATCCAGTAAATATTCTAAATTTTAGTAAGTACATTACTCGGTACATTATAAGACATATGAAGCACCTAAAAATATATAATTCTTTAAAAAAACTGTATTATTTAAAATCATAATTAGATGATAAAAAATATATAGGTATGTAAAGTGTCTTCCTCTTTGAGCAGCACAATTCTTCTATTTTAGAATGAGTTGGTCGATTTTAATTTTGTATACTCTTTTAGTATGGATCACTCTGGATTCATGTGGAGATTAAGTTCACCATTTTCTTTATTCTTTTATTTAAAACTCGAGAACCATGTATAATTTCCGAGCGTTATACCACAGTTTACAACAATACTCTGTATGGACCTCTGTACCATTTAAAACATTTAATTTTTAGTTGACATCTAAATTTATATTCTTATTTCATTTTTATATTGATATGTCAAAATACCGACTTAACCAGAACTATGAGACTAATTAATAAATAGGTATTAATTGTAATCTGATTTGTTCAAAGGAAATTTAAACAATACCTTTAAAATATATATTTTTTTATAATATAGATCGTTTATGTAAAAAATAGACCAAACACTAAATGTTTCTGTATTTCTGTTTTCTTTCCGATTGGTGTAAGTTGTTGATTTATAACACTCTTACATATTTATTGGCTACTGAATGTTTACATTAGTTTCATATAATAAGGGTGATATTTGGCGAAAAATTTGCTCCTAAACAATTAAAATATAGACAAAAGATCTTTAGTTTTAAATGCAAATTTTAATGCATAACGTATTATACTATCTTTGTATGACCTGTAGGTACTTAAAAGTATTTTCTATAACTAAAACTAAAATGCCATTTTATAGTCTAATCAAGAAACTTATAAGAAAATAATTTTGCTTAACCAAAGATCTCTCATTGAAAAGAACAAATTAATGAAAAACATAAATTGCATTTATACCTATATCGCGCGCTTTAGTAAGATAGTTGTTAACGTTTCGAAAATCAATCTGTTTTCATTTAAGGCTTCTGTTTTCAATATTTCGTTATTTATCTGTAAACAAGTTTATTATTAAAACATAACATTGGTGCACAGTTACAGCGATAGCCTGTAGGTATTTGTTATTATTACATTAACTCGGTCTAACTGCATTGTGTCAAAGACTTTGGATACTAGTAACTGACCAAATTGTTTTACCTTTGCACCAAAACCATCTCCTGTTACAAATTCATCCAACCTATAATGTATCAATATAATGAATAAGCAATTACTATATTTAAAAATGGTTCTTACCAAAATTATATTGATATTAAGGACACGTACACTTTAATTTAGTTAACTGTCAGTTCTTTTTTTTCTTAAAAACGATTTTAAAATTTTTTGCAAGAAACAAAAATGGTGAAAAAAGGTTAAAATCCATCCAAATGTTCTAAAACTGTACACGAAAAATTCTCTAACCTCAATAATTACCAATCATATATCGTTTTCCTTTTTAAATCAATTAGTTGGAAATGTACATCCACAGTCATATAAAATCAAACTGGGCCAATTTAATTTCTCGCAAAAATGCCAAACAGCTTCAGCAGTTTTCTTGCCAAAAAACGCTGTGTCCATGAAATATGAACATTTTAATTCTGTTTCCTAAATACAGCTGTTATACAGGGTGATTCATTAACAATGGGAAAGTTGAAAGCTGAAGATACTACACGTAAAATGGTGACCATTGACGCAAACATGCCTCATCCAAAAATTGATAATTTCGGAAATACAGGGTGTTGAAAGTTAATATTTTAAATCATTTTTTTGCGATTATTCTGAAAATATGTAGGTTAGGAACTTGAAAATTTGTGAAACTATATTTTTTTTAAGCGACGAATAAGATGCATGTTGCAATTTCAGCGTTGTTCATAGAGGGCGCCACTTACGATCAATTTTACCGAAAATGTAGTTAATAACTTTTTACCCTGTATGTCTCACATGAAAATTGATTCAAAACCTGAAAGAGCAATAATTTTTCCATTAATTGTGTACTCTTGTTTCATTTCGGTATCTCGATCCGTTTTCGAGAAAAATAGATTTAACGAACACTATGTTTTGATAAGACGAGAAATTAAAAGCGAAACAAACTAAGTGTTTCTTCATGTTTTCACAACAATTAATAATAAAACAAATAAAATACCACGTAATAATGATTTAAAGTAATTGTTTGAAGAATCCACCGTTGACACTGATACACTTTACACAACGTTTTCTGAGAGATCTTCGAGTTTGAAACAACTTATTTGGATTGTGTTTGACTTCGTTGGCAGCGATTTGTATTCTTTGCCGCAATTCTTCATACGAGCCAATAGATTCTTTGTAAACGATATCTTTCATTCGAGACCAAATAGAAAAATCAAGAGGATGAAGTCGGGACTTCTGGGTGGCCAATGCGTGCATATTTAGATGCAGTTTTTTCAAATCGCTGGATTGGTCATGTAAGCATTTTTGCTTGTCCATCCAGAAGTCTGGACTTCAATCCTCTTGATTTTTCTTTTTGGTCTCGAATGAAAGATATAGTTTACAAAGAATCTATTGGTTCGCGTGAAGAGTTGTGGCAAAGAATACAAAGTAAGTCAGACGCAATCCCAATATGTTGTTTCAAACTCGAAGATCTCCCAGAAAACGTTGTGTAAAGTACATCAGTGTCAACGGTGGATTCTTCGAACAATTACTTTAAATCATTATTACGTATTTCATTTGTTTTGTCGTTAATTGTTGTAATAACATAAAGAAACACATATTTTGTTTCGCTTTTAATTTCTTGTATTATCAAAACATAGTGTTCGTTAAATCTATTTTTCTCGAAAACGGATCGAGATACCGAAATGAAACAAGAGTACATAAGTAATGGAAAAATGATTGCTCTTTCAGGTTTTTAATGAAGTTTCATGTTAGAAATACAGGGTAAATAATAATTATTAATTAAATTTTCGGTCAAATTGGTCGTAAGTGGCGCCCTCTATGAGCAACGCTGAAATTGCAACACGCATCTTATTTGTCGCTTAAAAAAATATAGTTTCACAAATTTTCAAGTTCCTAACCTACATATTTTCAGAATAATCGCAAAAAAACTATTTAAAATTTTAACTTTCAACACCCTGTATTTCCGAAACTATCAACTTTCGGATAAGGCATGTTTGCGCCAGTGGTCACCATTTCACGTACAGTATCTTCAGCTTTCAACTTTCCCATTGTTAATGAATCACCCTGTATATTTTAATTAGACAAATTGCTTTAACTCGTATGCCTCTTATTTTTGAAAATTCATTTATTTCATTTGAATAAATTTTGCAACTTATATTCATCTTCATCAACCATTATTTTGTTCGAAAATTATAATATCGGGTTTATTCCATACATAGAAGGAAAGTGATCTTTAAACTGAATCTTATTCTGAATCTGCAATTATTTTTCTGTGAATTGTAAAATGTCGATGCTGATGGAGCAACTGATGTGAATCAAAAACTTCAACCACTTTCTGTTCTATTTTCAATGTATATTTCCGCCACTGAAGTAGACTTTCAATCTTTTCCGTCTTTTGATCAGTGGCCATAGAATCTTCCAGATGCGGCAATTTGAAATATCGAACAATTTCTTTTTAAGTGCTTCTTATTTTATTAATATCAACCAAATAGATTGACACATTTTCATTCTTATTAAAAATCTACAACTTATCAGTAAACTTAGGAGGCAAAGCAGAGTAATTTTTTGACATATGGTAATAGCAGATACATCTGAAATAATAAATATCCTTTGAGTACGTGTCTTGCTATCAAGAATGATAACCACATAACTATCGTCTTCTATACCTTCTGTATCATATTTAGTAGCTCTTCTCTATTACAAGCCCATTGATACTTTGTATAGTTTCTGGAAATATGTACTTACCTACCTACGGTACCCAGTGGGAAATATGGGAAAAAATTCTACGCCCTCGGCTATTTTAACCGTTCTGTGGTAATTTCTTTTTTATTCTTCTTCAAATATGCTTAATTTTATTTTCCTGGTGCGATTATTTGATATATCTACAGGGCTGGAAAATCCGCTTGGTCCATTTGCCTTTAAATGAGAGCGACAAAGTAAAGAAATCCGTGCGATAGACAAGGATGGCTATAGTGAAGACGTTTCATAATCTGAATAGTCAGCGCCCGTTTCGGGATAGAAGTGGGAGTGACTATTCAGAATATGATACGTCTTCAATGTAACCATCCTTGTCTATCGCACGGATTTCTATTACTTACTTTATCGCTCTCACGTAACAGCCGATATACCATGGGGACTTTCCGAACCTGTATATAGGATTTTTTTAAATCGAGGGAAAACCCATCAGCCTCAACACCAAAGATAATAATTCGGTATTTATAAAACAAAAAAATGTATCTGCGGTTGATTAAACAACGAAAATAATAATGCAGCTTTATAATACTTTTCAACCTCAAACCTGAACCCAAGAACGTAACCCCAAAATAATACACTAACTCTTTTCTAATTCTATGAGTATAATTACTTGGAAACTATATTTTTGAGCTTATATTTCTTAACTCTAAACCTACACCCATAAAAACCTAACCCGCAAACCCTTCAAACCCTAACCCCAAATCTTCAAAACCCAACCTCAAACTCTAAAAACTTTAGCTAATAATTCATAGAATGTATGTGTTCCACATCAAAGAATAAAAGTATTTGAAAACTATTTTCTGGAACTTATATTTTTTATTAAGCCCGTAACCTCTATTCTTAAATATCTAACCCCAAATCCAAGAAATCTGCGCTAGAATGTTAACGAAGAATATTTGCCAATCCAAAGAAAGTGACCCCTTAAAACCCCTTAAAAACTCTATTATGGATATATTATTTTGTATTTCTGAAACCTCAAACCTATGCTAGGTCCATAAAAACCTAACCTCAAACCCTTGAAACTTATTCTCAAATCTCCAAAAAATGAGTGGATATTTAGATAGATAAATAAAATTTCATTCTATAGATCATAAAAATTTCAACAATTTCAGCTAAAACCTCATTTATATTATTTATCGAAATTATTCGATGGACTGCATTTCGTTAACTTTAATCTTCATTTATATAAAACTTAAACCCTTTTACCGCTTCAAGGTGTCAGTTTTAAAAAGGTTTTATTTTACTGTTTTTTTTATTTTTATTTATTTCTAATTATTTTTGTTTTTCTCATTTTGTTTGTTTTTATTTTTTTTTTCTACTAATTTTTATTAGATATTATGTTACAAAACTTTTTATTTTATTTTTAAATATCGAATCAAATTATCGCACCAGGATCGTAAAGTTAAGCTACTTGAAGAAATTACCACTGTACGGTTAAAATAGCTGAGTATTTAGAATTTTTCTCATATTTCCCACTGTGCGGCATTGTAAAATGTAATTAATACATGTACATAACCGTCATATTAATTTATCATAAATGTCGAAATTTTACCAAGTTTGACAATGTTTCTAAGCAGTTTTCGGAAAAAGAAGGTCCACTCTTGAATACAAATCGAATAGAATAAAAAATAACTATTTTTATATATGTAAAACAACATTTGACCACTTGACTTATAGGAATTATCTTATACCTATTAAAAAACAACCTTATATTTTACACCATTGTAACAGTAATAAAATATGTTGTTCACTTTTAGGGAGAGAAGGGTTCAAAGGGAGATCCAGGACCAATGGGTTTACCTGTAAGTTATTTTTTATACTAAACCCACTAACAACCTAGTAAAGTAGAATCCACTTTAAACAAAGCTACACTTTTTTACCACAAGATTGTTTTAAAAATTTTATGTTTGGATTCTAACTTGCTTTCCCTATTAACTTACCAAGTTGAGCATGTGTCCCTAATCGGGCGAATTACCAACAGGGTCCAATGGGTTTAAGAGGGGAAATTGGACGGCCAGGTGATTATGGAAAGCCAGGGCCCATGGTAAGGAAACCATACTATAACTAGGCCTAAACAGCGTTAACCGAACAATGCAGTGACTTAACAAATTAACAATTTCATTAACATTTCTGGGCTTCAATAACAACAAATATTTGTTAAGTGATTCAATTCCATTGGATTGTTTTTCGACGCAATACTTTTGATTTTACTTTAGTCTATTTTTACCAAGAATCAATTTACGAATGGTTTAGGAGGACAATAACTGGTGATACAGAGAAGAAAATCGACTGCCACGAATTTAACATCGTCGAGGGTTATCAAAAATTGTTATATATCATATTTGGCGTCCAAATTCTCATATAAAGGCAAAACTAAATAATATATTCTAAATTCATACAAATGTTTTATATTAACTCTGTATTTAAATATCACAAGGTGTATTTATTGCTATTTTAATATTTATTATTATACATAGGTTATGTTAAACGCCATTGTTGCGGATGGCTACAACAAACAAAATTTAATTCCCGTGACGCTTTTCCAAGTGTCCTGTACTAGCAGTACCAGAAATAAAGACAGTAAATCGCTCTGTTTCTATTCTTTCATGTAAATTTTTGACTGAGACGAAATGTTTCTAAGTTCCACATTTTGGTACATTTAAAAATGTCTCCAGTTTTACTTGCAAGATGCAACAGTACTACAATGCATTTACATGTAGTTTGTAGTTCCTCTGAGTATAATAAATACAGGGTATTTTAGAATAAACTCTGGAAATAATGGAATGTAAAAAAATATTTCTACCAAATTTAATTACGATATTCATTTAAAAACTACCTCTATCTTGAAAACAAAAGACGAGGAATAGACCAGGAAGATAGGAAGAAATATAAATTTTTTTTATGTTGTATTGCCTCAGGAACATTATTTTAAAATACCCTCTATATCTCCTGAAATAGTAGGTAAGTACAAAGATAACACATTAGTTTACTATAAGACACCGTATGTATTATATTAGCAGTTGTAACTAACCTATATCTAACCCTCTAACCGTCTTTTGTCTATCTGTAGATAATTTGTTAACAATATCAGAGGCATTTTTACTTTCCTCACAACACATGTTGTTCACATTAGTTTTTAATCAATTTATTTATTCCCATTTATATTAAGAATATTGTTATCAATTTATACTATATCTTTTATTCACTTTAAAAACCAGATATATTTAAAGACTTCCTTATCTTTTTCTCAGATTTAACGTTTGAAACATGTCAGTAAATTCACGAAAAAAGTATCCAATTTTACAGAACTATTTGTACCTACATATCTAAAAAGGAAATTGCCATTAATAAATCATTGCAAGGACAGTTAAATTCGTTCATAGCATTTTCAGTGCAATCAGCATTGCAGCATGAAAACAGGGGAATAACGTTTTATTCAGTCGAATAAAACCGCACTTCGTTATTGACACTGTTCTTTGTGAGTCATATTCTTGAATAGTATACTCACTCACGTGCGTGTACAGTCTATTATTTCCTTTAATGTTGAACAAAATAGAGAAAGTTCGATTCCACAACTAAATACAAGGTAGAATAACTAAGAAAATAATGTTAAGTGTAATACTTTTTTAATTATTTCGTAAAATGTGTCATTTAAAATCTTGATTCCTGTGACGCAAAAATTATGTTTATTTTTTTCTTCTAGAAAGTTAATTTCATGTAGTGAACTATGAAGTTAAAATATATTAAAAATTTGCAACTATGCCCGTTTTTACCTATTTTGCGCCAAGTGCAGGACACCACTATAAAATAAAGTAAAGTGTCTTTCCCAACTTTTATTACATAATAAAAGAGTTTGTTGTAGCTATCCTGAACTTAACATAAGAGTCATTACTGCTCTTAACAAACCATTTTACGTCCATATTAGTACTTAACACTACTTGTAACTGACAGTGGTTGGTAAGTAGTGTCTTAAGTAGTCCAGTAAATATCAATTTTTATATAAATATATTGCCATAACTATTTATTATATTTGTAAAAAGGGAGACATTTTGCAAAATCATTAATTTATAAGTTATTAAACAAATGACAGTGTTGTAATATAAATGTTACTTTTTTATAGGTGTCTTATAGTAGGTTAGATATTGTAATAAAATATACAGTTTGGAATTACGTGACTGATTTTAGAATAGGGTTTGTAAAACCTAAAAATTGTAAAATATTTTTAATTTTAATATTTAGAATTATAAGCTTGGTGTATTATTATTAACATGTACGAAAATAAATGTATGTGCATGTGCTGTAATTATTAAAAATTGCTTTAATTTATGTTCAACTCTCCTGCTTTGTCATCCCGGATATTTTCCCACAACTACATTGTGCAATATTTTTGTTCCAAATTTTATCTTCATACAAATTCTTCGAAATGAAATAGAAAAAATCTACTATGAACATTATAAATGCTTCTGGCATCACATTAAAATAATGGAATAGTCTTTCCACGTCCAAATACATTGTTTTCAAGAAGTTGTAAAACAAGAATTAATTTTCAACAAGAAATTGCTGTAAAAAGCAATCATTGGAAGCAAGTTATATAAACCAAAAATGATTTTACTACTTTGAAACCAATAACTACAATAGACTATATTTTGTTCGCCTTTGTCAATGTTTTTAATAAGTAATATTTTAACAGTCAAAATATATTTCTCTAAATTTTAATTGATGACATTTCAACTTAACGTCCATTATATAATATAATTAAACCATAGACCTTATTTTAGACTAAAGATTTACGTAGGCAAATGGTAAAATATTATTAATAATTAAAGTATACACATGATTCTCAAAGGACAGAGCAAATCAATGTATGTATGATTACAGACTTTGCTTTGAAATTGGTAAAATAAACTCACCTTTGAATTATACACTAAACACCACTTCTATGTAATTCTTACTAACCCCTCTACATCATCTTAGTAAGCTGAACATTTCAAGGAAATAGTGAGTGCATGCACATTGATACTTGAATGAATCAGACTGTTGCAGATATGTTGAGCATCATGATCATTGGCATCTAGCTTTCATCCATTACATCCTCATTTAATTTAATAGGTATTTGGCTAACGTTTTCTTTTACTTATTTTTCTTCACAGGGCCCGCCGGGTCTCGATGGAATGAAAGTAAGTTTACTATTTTATTTTCTCTTATTACTACTAAATTATTTGCCGAGTAGCAGTTACTACGCCACTAACACTTTGATTTCAATAATTTATGTTATCTTTCCTCTTTTCATAATTACATGTATTATTTGTATTTTAAGTTTCAGTAGATGTTTTTAACAAACCTTTAAAACTAGTATCTCAAATTTATTTATATATCAGAAAAATAATATTCTAATAAAAATAATTAATGTATCTATAATACTTGTTGCAGAAGAATACGTGAAATTTAAAATAGCTCTGATATTTAAGACTTATCGTTTGACGTTGAATTTATAGTATTTCAAAGTTATCCGCGTAAGATACTAACAGTACCATTATTCGTCAGGGCGCTCAAGGTGAACCTGGAAGCAAAGGAGAAAGAGGAGACCCTGGTTTACCTGTAAGTATTTTCTTCTGAAGAGCAGATATACCTAAACCTATTCATAGTATTTATTTTTAACATGAACTTATTACCTAGTGTTGTAACAATACTTACATGTAGTATTGTTTTCTTGCTTACACAAGGTCTAACCAAAAGGCTTAACCAATTTTTAATGGTGGGTTATAAGTCACAATGTTTAAAGTTAGTAAAATATGTAATCTATTTCAAATTACAAAAAAAAAAATAAATAGGGGAAATCCTTCCAGTAATTTATTAGGTAACGTGAATACTGACAATTATATACAATACAATACACATAGAATTGGTATAGAAAATACAAGTAACCATATATGTCACCCGCATTACCCGCAATTTGTATTTAAAATATTGCATTTTAACTTTACCACAATTTTATTAAATACATAATATTCTATTTTGTTGTAGGGTGCTTATAATTGTATTAAATATATAATCTCGAAGTTTCATAGATTTTATGTGAAAATTTCTATATACTGTAGCTTTTACTATTACATTATTATTGAATTTTTTTTGTATTTACAAATTTTGTAGAAATTATCTTGGGGTGCCGAAAAAAATTTATAACGAGCGTTCAAATAAAAACGTGGTCGAAGTTGGCTCTGACACATTGGACGTAGGGCGTAGCTTATAGCGACCAACTTAACCTCATTTCTCAACGAGCTGTATAGCAGCTGTCAGTTTCAATAACAAAGCGGCGGTACAGCGCTTTGACAGATGACGTTTAAGTTCATTTGCTATACGCTACGCCCTACGTCTAAATTTTCAGAACCAACTTGACCACGTTTTTATTTGAACGCTCGTTACTTAAATACCACATAAATTTTATAACATTGATTTCATTAATTAAAGTTGCAAAGGCAGAAATAAAGAAAAACATATCTTGAAATAAAACACAAACAGTATTTAAGTATTCGAGGTTTGATAAAAAATTAACGGGAATTATTAATTTTCTCAGGAAATATTTATGTAATCTTCAATTTTTGTCCCATCTCTTTCAAAGTAGGTAGTCCTCGTGTGATTTATACATTTAGGTATGTAGTATATTGTCATGGTGCAAAATCCACGAGTTATGTCTCATGTTCTCGTCGTTTTCTCCTGTCGCGCAAATTGCACAAAATTTGTAGGTAATACTCCTTGTTAACTGTACGATCGAGAAGTGAAAATTTATGATGAACTATTTCCATTGTAGTCGAAGGAAACGGTTAGAAAGACCTTCACATTTGACCATTGATAAACTCGAGGCTGTAACATAGTATCGTCGCCAAAGGCCTTCTTTAATATGCTGTACGCTGGAATCTGGAATTTTAGGGAGGGTAGCTTAAAACGCTACAGCATTTTACATCCCATTGTACCCCTTGTACTTCCTCCCATTAGGAGATCAATCCACCGAAGCTGCTAACCAACCTAATACAGAGAAAAATTGGTGACATTGCTCAGAGGGGTCTCCCTAATATAGACCATAGAAGACCAACGTTCTCCCAACACGGATTCTCTTGTTTACGAGACGGCAGTGCATTCTCATAGCACATGTAGTACTGCCTCGTCTTTCTGTTCACAACCCCTACGAAAACGTGTTTCATATTGTGAAGATGCATCCTTAACGAACAGTGTCCAGTTTGAATACCTGTCACTAGTCGAAGGTTTGGCCTAGCAATGGCCAGGTATTATTTGGCTGTATCCTTATTAGGATATTCTAAGAACCCCTTAGCAAATTGACAGCTACTTGTATCATCGCACCATTTCATAAACTCTTTGTGGGTGTTTTTCCTTAATAATTTAAGTGCTGACAACGGAAGCACACTGGAGGGACCGGGTCAAAAAATATTGAGACCCCTGCTTAGCCTGTCAGCTTCTTTGTTGCCATTGCACCCCTCGTGTCCCTTGACCCAGCATACAGATATACTGTTGGATACTGAGGCCACGACCAGTGCCTGGTGGCATTCCCATACTGACCTAGTCATTATCTTATGATTACGCAAAATGTGCAGTAGTGCTTGTCTACTATCTGTGTAGATTCTGATGGTTATACCCGCAGTGTGCCTACGGGTAGTTTCTTTAGCGGCTATAGTTAAACCTGCTAATTCCGTTTATACCACGGTAGCATGCATATCCATTGCCCACTGATATCGGATATGCAAGGATCTAGAATAAATTCCACATCCTGCACCTTCCTTCCTTTTTTATCCGTCTGTGAAGATGTTGATTACATATTCGCTGGCGGTTTTCTCCTGTCTTCTGATAAGTACGGTGTAGAGTCTGTCGAACGCAAACCGAGGAGAAATACTGTCAATGTCCGCTTGCATCTTCCAATTCCATAGGCGACTCCTGACTTCTCCACATCCTACATCCGGTTTGAAACAAACGTTCTTGAAGTCACTTCTTTTAGATAGATATCCAGAGGTAGTGGACACAGCATTACTTCCATTGTTATGCTGAGTGTTGTTCGCATAGCTCCTCAGGCAGGCAATCCTTTGTACTTAGCTGAGCTTTGGTTTAGCTGTCATCTGCTGGGCCCCGTAGGGTAACATTGGTCTAACAATGGCAGTGTTTATCCACATGACCACTTCTGGTTTCATTCCCCAGGTTTTACCAATGTTTCTGCGTCACTGCTCATAGGATATGTACGCCTTTTTTAATTTTCTTTCAAAATGAAGATTCCATGATAGTTTTCCATCGAGTGTGCTTCGCTACACATCGTTGCACTTCGCTGCACTTAATTCCGTTTTTAACAAAAAATATCAGACACTTTCTGATCCGACATTTCGCCACACAATGAATCGCCAAAAAACTGAGGTAAGTCTGCCTAAAATTTGACTGGCATTGCTACCCATACACAAAAAAAAGGGTCAACTCAATAGACGAGATACAACACGCGCAATTTGATAATTCTTCTTACTTTTTGATGAAACCTCGTACATTATACAAATAGACAATATGTTTTATGTTAAATAATAAGTATTAGTAAGCTCGTATATAATATTTATTATGAAAGAAACATAACAAGAAAATAAACGTCTTGCTTTTTAGCTAATTTTTGACTGTCATTTACTATTTACCCTGTTTTTTCGAAAAGTTTGCATTTAAATTTACTCTACGAGCTGTCATATTATTTATGTTTTCAAAATCTTGATCAAAACTGTAGGTAACAGAGAATTTTTTTTATTTATGAGAAAATTGTCTGTATAAAAATTTAAATTTTAATATCAAGGTCATATAAAACTATACTACAAAATATTAAATTATTTTGTTTTCAAAATCATGATAAGAAAACATGTTTCTCATAAGAAGAAAATTATTTCTAACGAATATATTTATATTAAACATAAAAAACATAAAAATAATTAACAATAAACCAACGTAATTTAATTAAATTCCTTAACCACCCTTCATACACACTTCCCAACTCATTGTGTAAATTAACATTAACAATTATTCTGTTATATTTTAGGGTACAGATGGAATTCCCGGTCAGGAGGTACTAACCCATTAACCTCATTAACCCACATTGACGTCTGTGTAAAGTAGAAACATAGTTTATCTAAAGCATGCTCACATCTTAACAACCTACCCATTTTTTACTACTTTCGTTCTTTCTATTTATTTCAGGGGCCGAAAGGTGACAAAGGAAGTAAGGGTGAAGCTGTAAGTATAAGTGCATATACAATAAATAATTGTTGGTGGAATCAGTAGTTCCAATTCAGTACTAAAAATAAAATCTGAAATAATTATATCGGTACAAGAATGAATAAATAAAATAGAATATTTACATATCCTTAAAAAAACCAGAAGTACTTTTGTAAATATTTTAGATACAGTTTGACAAACCTAAGAACAAGAACACAGACTTGTTGAAATAAATGATATTTTCTTTAGAAATGCATACTATATTTTTTCACTTATTTCTTTTCCGAAGAATTCAGTAAACTCAAAATTTTTGTTTTTAGCCATAGCATCAGAAAATTATGATGCAACAAATCATTTTGGAAATATTTTAGTAAGTTTGTTTAAAAATTCGTAATAGTTTCAAAATAATTTCAAGTAATACTATAAAAAGAAAAATATTTATTATCAAAATTATTTTTCTGTTTAGATTTGTGGATATGAATCATGACTACTATATATTGCAATTCTATCTTTGTCGATTATTCTTCGATAACTTATATTTTAAACATAATTATTTGTTATTAAAATGAGTCTACTAATTTTTATTAAACCGTTGCTTGCTTTTGCCTAATCTGAATGTTTCGTATGAAAATAACTGCTAACAGTAACGAAGGTAGCACTTTGGTTGAACCTATATTATTCTTGCTTTCAGCTAATGCATTATGTAACTGTACTACTTTATCTTCATTTCATCTCACTTTATCTTCATAACCAATTTTTTGCACTGGTTTTTAAAAGTTGCTTTCCTAAGAAACGAAGTTCTCAGTTTGCAAGAGGGTGTTTGTCAAACAAATAAAAAAAACGACATAATACAAAAATTGGAAATATATAGAATTTATTGACTTAAATTTAAACTAAAAGTGGCCAGTGCCAATGGAATTAGAAAAGGTTTGAAGGATTTCAGTTGTATAAACAAAGTTAGTTGACATTAAAGAGAATCTTTTGAGTAGACCATTTCTAATAAAAAAAATTTTGTTTGTTGGCTTTGTAGAAAATATTATCGACGAGCGAAAGTCTGAAAACCATAAAAGTGTTTGGCTATATTTCATTCTAAAAATGCGTATTTGGAATTTTATCAATCAAACAATGCTTTCTATAAAAAAAGAACTCAAGAAACACAACAATTTTTATTGAAAATGAGTTATTGTAATTAACATTATTTAGTAGGTTAGTTTTTGTTTAAATTACTATTATTATGAGTGAACTGTCAGGATTTTTGAGTAATTCATCAAAAACTGTTTCACTTACTTTCAATCTTTGATCACATATCTCTGAGGAAAAATTTTAGCAATAAAAATGTTACCATTTTATTTTTGTTTGTTTTGATGAGAAGAATCAGTCCTGTCAGTTTCAAGCAATATTATAATATTATTTTATAATCTTTTACCCCATCAGTGATAGTTTTAATGGCAAAAATACTAAAATACAATATTTTACGTGCAAATAGTCCATTGTTATAAATGATTCACCGGCAAAAAGCTGTACTCTTTTTACCCGGTAATTAAGATTAAAAATGCAGATAAAACTAATTAAGACGCCACTACGGGAATTAACCGTATCCTTATCGCCGATGTCAAATTTAGACAGCATCATTAATCATAAGACAGACAGGACCCTTTAACCTCGTTTCGTCTTGGCATCATTAACAAGTAGTCCTTAGGAAGCATTTTTGAACGAAGTAGCTGTTTCATTCACTAAGAATATTCCATATTCATGTAGTTAACGCTTATAGTTTCATGTGTTACAAGATGATTTAAAAATGAAGCTTCTGGAAAATAACGCGTCGTAAATATAACTTCATTTAATATCATTATAATTAATTCAATGTTGCATTTTGGTTTGTTTATACAAAGATATGTTTTATGCAGAAGAAATTAAATAATTCTACTCTGAGTATTCAAAAGCGGTATACTGACTATTGCAAATGTCATTGAAGCATCAATATCAAATGATGGTGTCATAACTCACGTCATTTTTAAAACATTCTTGATTCAGCGTCTATTTGAAATATAATGCAGCACCTGTATGGTCATCCAATACTTGTAGGGCCCAATAGGTAAAAGAGGAAGAAAAGGTGATAAAGGTGACAAAGGAGATCAAGGGGTTCCAGGATTAGATGCACCGTGTCCTTTGGGCACAGATGGTTTGCCTCTACCAGGATGTGGTTGGAGACCACCAAAGGTTTGTTTGTATTTTTTTTATAATTTATTGTGCCACATAAAGCACATATTGCTTCACAGGATTTTGATTGAACAAAAACAAATCTTCTATTATATTATTGTCTGTTGTAGTATACTCAAAGTTTTTAATAAAACATGATGCAACTTTTTAATATGTATCTTTCAAAACCCCAATAAGTTTTATTGTGCTTTTACGAATATGTATGTGTTTGTTTGTGCTTTTGTTTATAATTATATGTTATCAGATTTTATTTCAATAATTATTGCTGAGTGTGTACTAAACTCCAAACAATTCCAGTTATTTCCTAGATCAGAACAGTCACATGTCATGGACAAATTATTGTTACCCTATGAGCTTTTCGTATTTTACTAAACTGCAATTGACATGAATGTTTTAAATCCTTTTAAAGGACTTCACGGCGTGATTGCTTTGTGTGTTCATCACTTTAATATTGTTTGCCTGACTAACTGCATGGGTATTGGTTTTACTAATTTCTAGGAAGCAAATCGACTGGTGCCGCCTCCCACTAGCCACTCTGACTTTGATATTGAGGATCCAGTTGACGACAATGCCGATGATTATGAAGAAGTCGATGAGGAGTATGAGGAATATCCCGAAATGAACCAGGCGCTTCCTGTTTCTGCATCGGCCATTTAACATTTAATTAACTTTTTCGTATTTTTAGTGCTCACTTTATTAACTTGGTAGGTACAAGCTTTTTCGTAATGCATTCATGTGGGTTTTTATGGCTTTCCTAATACAGATTAAATGAAATAAATGTGAAGTATTGTACATAAGTTTATTTATTTTAACTTTTTAAATTTTCAAAATTTGGAAATATGTAAACTAAGAACACTGCAAATAACATAAAATGAATTATTTTAAAGATAACGGTTATAATCTTAACAATGAATAGTATTTTAATTTTGTATATCTATAAAGTACCATGCTTCAAGAATAGCTTTCGTTGGATGACAATAATCATATTTATGCCAAATTAATATAGTACAGTTTGGTTCAATAAAAGGTACCGTGAACTGAAAATTGTATACAGCTTCAGTTTTGTTACTGTTCCCTTTTAGATATTTTATTTAATGCAGTTTGATACAAACAATTTTTTGGGTGAGGATAAACATACATTTATTTATTACCTAAAACATAGAGGTCGCTAAGAACATCCGAGACAGTTCTTAAGTTTTCGATATATTTTCTTATTAATGCAGATTTTAGCCAAAAAAAAACTTTTAGTACTTTATACAGAGTGTCCGGGAAAATGTGGCAAATCTATCGGGTGCAGATAGAACATGAAAAAATAAGGTGACAAGTTCCTATAAATTTTTTTCGTACAGGCCCTCCCTACGGAGATATGTGGCCCTGAAAGACGCCGCTAGAAATCGATTTTTCTTGAATAACTTTTAAAGTACCTATTTAATATAATTTAATAAAAATTTTATGTGATGGACACTAGTAAGGACCTCTTAAAATAGTGTCCTTGAAACATATTTAGCTTTTTTAGTTTACCAAGGGCGGGCTAAGCTTTACAACTTAATGCCTAAATTGTTAACACCCTTCAGACACCCTAAAGACTTCAAAATAATAAATCTGGGTAGCTTCAACCTTAGACTAAAAAAAAGGTACTGTTGTTTATTGTCCATCAAATGAACCGAAATCTGCACGCGAGAGATTTCCCACATTTTCCCGGACACCATGTATAATGTTATACAATATATTGGAAAAGATGTTCCAATTGCAACTCGCTAAAAAGTATGATTCCGAAGAAGAATAAATTGCAGTTTTTGGAGGTATTCTAATCCAATTGAATTTCACCCAATCATTTGTGGCGACATTAAATATTGTGCAAGATTTTGATTAACTTCATCTCTTTCTAAATAACAACGCGTATATCTCTCATGAACCTAATGGGTGTTCCAAAATCCACGCAAGATGTGAATTTCATTTCTGCTATAAAATATGTATATGTATAACTTGACAGCTGACAGTTTACGGTTATTAAAAACTGAAACACAAAAGTACAACGTCAGAATAGTGATTTAACTTTATCAGTGAAGAGATTAGTTGAAAAATTCAAGACTGGATCAATTAGTGAATTTAAACACTCTGGACGTCCTTTAATTCGATCAACACAAAACATCGAAGCAGTTCATGAATTGGACATTTCGAGAAGCTCTCTACAGCGTAATCTCACGAAATTCAATTAACTCAAGAACTGAGGCCTTCTGACCACGCAGACCGAAGAGAGTTCGTTGAATGTATTATAGAATAACAGGTGGATGCTGATTTTTTTAATAAAATCATCTTCAGCGATGAGGCTCATTTTCATCTTGGTGGCTTCGTTAATCGCATTTTGGGCTGCAGAAAATCCACGGGTGATTGTTGAAAAACAAATGCATCCACAACGTGTCACTGTTTGGTACGGATTTTGGACTGGAGGCATTATCGGACTATTCTTCTTCGAAAATGCGGCTGGTCAGGCAATAACATTTGATGGTGCTCGCTATCGCGATATGATAATCCAATTTTTGTGCCTAAATTGCAATACAGCCGAAGAAATAATTCAATTACTGCACGAATCGTTTCCTGATCGTGTAATTTCCCGTTTCGGTAATCAGAATTGGCGGTCCAGATCATGCGATTTAGCGCCGCTGAACATTTTTCTTTGCGTTTTTTTGAAGTCTAAGATTTATGCCAACAAGCCCACAACTACCTTGAAGGAGGAAATTGCGCACTGTATCAACCAAATTCAGCGTTTATGCAAAACGGACACGGAAAATTTCGACAAACGAGTGTGTATATGCCAGCAAAGCAGTAGAGGCCATTTACCCGATATGCTACTCCATACATAACTTTATGAATCAATAATAAAACACAATTTTTAATTAAAAACCTATTTTTTTCTAGCAATTCTACTTATTGTGTGAATTTTGGAACACCCGTTATATTTGTTTTACCCCAAAAAGCCTTGCCAAACCAATTTTTTCGTCGAAATACCTTAAAAAGTGAGAGAGATAAGTAAAGTTCCTCTAAACTGCGCGGGTGGGCGCCGCGCCCTAATTTTTCGAAAGTTGCTCAGACGTTTTTGTATTCTGCGTACAATGGGCTTGTTCACCAAATAGCAAAAATGTAAATTTCCCAAAATAAAAGTAAAATTTAGAGGGTCAAAAAAATTTTTCAAATTGGTCTTTGACATTTAAACGTTAAACGAAACGTGTTCAACATTTTTGCTTCATATACTTTTGTACCGCGCAGTCAGTGAAAAAATTTGAGGGAACATTGGAGATAAGTAGGTACCTTAACAAATTTTAAAAAGCATAAAGAAAATCTGATCAATTTAGATTAACCGGTTTAGTTTATTTTCATCGAATGATTATTATCCTTGAAGTATAGCCCATTGGCTTCTGGATACCCTGTATACAAGTCAAATCTCTTATTTAGAATAATTTTTAACAAACTTTAAGATGATACTTGTCAAATAGATAATATAGTTCTAAATGTAGCAAAATAAAAAAGTATACGTTCTTTAAAATAAGGTTACTAATGAAGTTGTAATTGACGTTTGTGAAAAAAAAAAAAACGTTACCGAATATTTTGCGTACTATATTTGCAAAATTATCACCTACTGCAAACAATATAATATTATGTACATCTACTTATACTGATTTTATGATTTTTCAGAACTGACAACGTGTATTGCGAACCCAAGGACATCTAAAGTACTTATAGTGCCAATAAGTGTATGTGTTTTGTAAATAGTGTTCCGTCAGAGACTGATCTTGGACTTCCAGTGATTTTTTAAACTAGTTTTAGAAAGTTAAAAGTATAATTTATTCGTTGTTAAGTAAATATATACATATAGTTTTTTACTGTATAGTCCAAATGTCTAATATTTATTGTTCCTCCAAATATAAAACTTAGTGTAGGTGTAATAGAATTTCAAGATGTAAAGGTTTATTATTAATGTATACGATATTTATTTAAAATAACATATAACTATTGTAATAACTGGATACACGATAAGCCGTAAATTGTTGTCTAAATTATATAACACCATAAATTTACTAATTAAATTGTTGTAATTCTTTTTTAGCCAGAAATAAAAGTGCGTTGTATATTCCTCCCGATTTTATCATTAATCTGTTGTTTGTATTTGTAGTTTAAACTTAAATTTTATTTACGTAACACGCATTATTTGTTTATTTTTATTATAACTATTTATAAAAAATTCCTTATACTAAAAATAATACAATTTGAAATTTGCTCTTTCATTGTATTAGAAACAGATAAAAAATATAGTTTTGAGTAAATTTACCTCGGGAACTGAAAAAGACTAACAAACTAAATCATAATTTTTTAATAGTTTATATCTAAGTATATTTATTTCTCGTTTTTGAGAAAATGTTTTGAAATCAGAGTTTTCTGATTTCCATTTATTTATAACTATTTACATGCAGTATTGTACATTAAAAATAATACAGTCCTTAATTTTCTATTTCAATGTACTATATCAGATCAAGCAAATACAATTTTGAGTAGATTTACCACAGGAGCTTCAAAGGCTAAAGATATGGCAAATGCACATAAAAATGACAACACCACGTTTCCGCTGAATATTACAATCTGAAACAAAATAAAGAAATTAAATTTGTCCCAAGGTGCATTTAATAATGGGTACCTAACTACAACAATTAAGTGACACGAAACATATGTTTATTTTTATTTATTTCTTCATGTGCAAGATGCAAGTGAATTCTGTAAAAAATAATTTTGTAGATATGACTGCGTTTTAAGAACAGCAAGATTTGTTATGTTGGTTGCATACTAAGAAGGTTTCATGTAAACATAATCCATTTTTATCGAAAAATTTGTAACTGTAACAGCATTTTAATGTTTCTTTGCATTCATTTTTCAAATTACGATTTATAGATATCCCTAATAACTGAAAATACTGAAATATATAATTCATTAATAAAATAAACAGTCTAGACCATTTAGCTATAAATACTAAAGTTTAAATTGAAATAATAGACAAGTTATTGAATACAGTTTCGATAGGAACTGACTACTTACAGCCATCGCATTGTGTAGGTGAAGAGATCCATCCAAAACGAAACTGGTGGCACACATGAGCACGGGATGGACCAAATAAGCGCAGTAGGTGAGTCGACTGAGAGGTAGGAAGAGCTTGCAGCTGAGGAAGGCATTTATTACTCCACCATGTCCAGTGCAGCAAGCTATTGTTATCCATGCCAAGGACAAACCCCATGCTGTGTGTCCCAAGGCAGCCTAAACAAAATATGTTTTAATAAATGTAGACGTTTCACTACTTTCAGGAATACTTAGGAAGTAGTGATTTGATCAGGTTTCGCAATAAAATACAAGAACTAACGAAAAATAAATTTCATTTACTCGAATTTAGATATAAGCTTACTTCAACCCCCTCCGAGGGGTAGAAATTTTCGAAAGACTGTTGAGAAGTTGCACATGCATTAGTAGAAAATTCGTGTAAAATTTGACTATTATGTCTTTTTTGGTTTTCAAATTACAACCGCTAATCCATATTTTTTGGGAAACCTTATGGGGTGAAGATTTTACTAAGGTAATTTTTATGCAAAACATGTTCTTTTTAGCTATAGATTCACCGGTACCATTTGTGCTACTTCTTTTGAAAACACCCTGTATAGTATAAACGCAGCAATACCAAAGTAATATCATCTACATTTGAAATTATGTTAACTGATTAAACTAAAAAAAAATCTTAATAAGTAGGTACTTAAGAAATGTACTGAGAATATATTTATTTTTTTACTAATGAACATAAAATTAAAACAAATAGCCGACAGGAAAGGAATCTTAAACGTAATCTAACCTTTTACTGAATTTTAAAAATTAAATTGGTACTAAAGAAACCATTTAAAAATTAAGAACGGAATGAAGTCGTAACACTCTAGTTTAAATATTTACTCTGAAACCTTCTGTTCTCCTGATAGCTGAGATGCATATACGCGACGGTTTTGTGGAGCAAAAGCAACGACGCAGATCCTGTTTGGTCACGAATCGACTAAACTGAATCAAGACAGGAATATGATTTTATCCATTCGACACGTTTACGTGAAGATTATTTGTTGCGCGAACGCATTTCACCCGCTTCTATCTACGAAAACAGGAACTTACTGCTGACATTTAATAATTGTGAATTATGTACCTACTTCAGATAGATACATTAATTAGCATTGCATATTTACTTGAATTGTTTAAACTTTGGATGTACTTAACTATAACTCCGTTGTCTCAAATTCTAATGCGATTTCAAAAGTATATTTAAGTACTTCATTGCATTTGATGACACTAATATTTACAGTACAAGATATATTTTACACTAAGTTTATGAATATAGAAACAAAGAAAAGAGTTATTTATGTTAAAAATGTGGCCCACTTACTAAGATATACATAAATAGAAGTAAGTAATGTGTCAGTCTCTATTTCTTATTTAGAAGCAGTGTGAGAAACCGATTTGAAAAAGATAACTTGTATCCAAGAAATTTTCCTGGAAGTCAGTCTTACAGAACATTGGTAGAAGGAAAATAACGACACAATTTTACCCATTTCCTGTATATCCATGTAGATTTTAGTTGTGTATCATCTTCCTCAGTACCAGGATAGTACTTTAACCTATTCTGTGACGGAGAATCTGTCCAAAGTCAAGAATTCTTCCAAAGTCAAACTGCAATAAAGGCTGAGAATGAAATAAGATGTGCTCAAAACTTTTTTCGGTTTACAACTGCTAAATTTATTGGCAAATAACAAAACAGCTATGTTGAGTACCAGAACACAGTGTGGGAACGAAAAGCCATTAGAACTGGCAAAAAAGAAATCTGCAACGGTTTTGCTAGAACCAAAGCCAACTTTTAGCATTTCTTAAGCTACTGTTTTTAATTATTCTGTCCACAGCAAATATTACTCTTCGGTGTAAACAATGAATATTTTTATGATTATATAATTCATTAGAAATTTAGCCAATAGCAATTACAAATTTTACGTAGTTACTATGTATTGATAAGCGATTTTACCCTTGACGACGTGGTATAACCGTTTTGGTGTTTCGCCTCCTCCAACAATGTGAACTATGTCATGGTAACGATAGTTTTAACATTTGTCAACAAACGTCAAAAAAAATGGAATGCTTCGGAATTAGTTAATTCATTATGTAATCGTATCGAATACCACTCGAGCAAACGAAAATATTCGATTATACTAACCTCCTCACTCGATGTATATCCTTAAAACACCACTCCAGCTACACTGTCGTGGTGTTTCGCAGAATNCAAAACCGTAGAAGGACGTAGTAAACACTGGAACAGGAACAGAACCCTGTGGATTAATGAAACACCTGCGTGACATAAAATTACTAGAAAATTTGATCAATCTACCAAGGTGAAACTCGGAAGAAGAGTTTGCACTGCACATCAGAGATTCAGGATATTTTGCAAACTTTTTTGAATATGAGACAATTAAAGAAAATGTCAGTTATAAAATGTTTGGACTTTTAACAGAAAACAGATCCGTTTGCTTATAGAATAATTTGACAGTTTTTTGACACAATAGGAAAAATTGGTCGTAATGATTGAGGACTATATGGCACACCCGGAAAATAAGCAGGAGATGTAGAAGGTTATACGTAAATACGAATTGACAGTTTGTATTCGCTCTTTGATAGTAACTTTAGAAACTTGTTTATTTTACCGCTATTACATTTAAATAATTTTCAGACATTAATATGGACTTTTGTCGATAGGATTTTAGAGCTGATCTAAAAAACATACTTTTATAAATTTGTCGACCATTACTAGACAATGTATACATATTTTAACAAACTGAGTGGGAGTGTATCTCTTATTAACTTTTTCCTTACATTACCTACTTACAGTAAAGATAAATGGACCCTACAAATGTTCGCATTAATTTATACAAGGTATTCTGAAAACAACTGCAAAAACTTTTGAGGGTGGTAGAACTTCTTGCTAAAAACGAAATATTTTTTTTAAGACTAGATCGTATCGTCCGTTGTTTCTGAGATACGTAGCAACAAATAGATGATTTGTTTAATAACATTTTTGCTATAACTTTTCTAAAAAACAATATATTGCCTTTTTGAGGTTAGGTTTTTACACTATACATATAGTGAATGTCTTATATTTTACTGTAAAGTAATATTTAGAAATACGCAGTTGACTATCCGAAACTCAACCAGCTTTCTTTTAAGAAATGAATGAGTCATACTTCAAGAGCAGCTTTCTTGGATGAAAATAAACCGATTTAGATTAAGTTCTTGATCCAACTTTGCTTTTATATACATATGTATACAATACATTCAAAATCTTATCCAAAAGTTCCGAAAATTTTTATATAAAAAAATTCTCTATTACCAACTCGAAACAGAGGAAAATGTTGAATTAACCGGAAAAAAGTGATGAATTATGATGAATACCCAGTTACTGAATAAAAAAAAAACCTTCCAATTTTTTTCTAACCTCAGTAAAAATCTAAAACTATAGCACAGATACCTTCAAAAAATAATATCATTTACGTATGTACCTCAACAGTTTCTTTTGATAATGTAAAATGCGTTTTATAATCGCATTTCACATCGATGAACTTAAAAACTAACCTAAAGGTTTTTTCAGCAACTTTGCAAGTCTTTTACATCAATCTATTATTAACAGGTTGCAATTTCTTTTTGATCTATCCAATAAAGCCAAAATCACTTTTTTTTAATTGGAGTTGCATTGAAAAAAATAAAAATTCCAGAGACAAGGTTCGACAAATAAGGAAGATGAGGAACAGTACCCATATGGTTTATTTAACTTACTACGAGCGAGGTGTGTGTGGTGCGTTATCATGAAACAGCTCGCGATAACATCAAATTTTGGCATCTGGTGATACTGTCAATGGGAAATTTTACTATGATGTTTTACATCGACGTAGTGAAAATGTGGGACTCAAGCGGAAATGTGAATACCTGCACACATCTAGTTCATAGTAAGATAGTTCTTAACAAAGTAAAACAAACAACATGATCACTGTTGATCATTATTGGGAGGACTTTACCACTTGGAACATCCCCTTCTGCTCAAAACTGAAGCTCCAATTATTAAGTGCCTTTGAAGCTTTGCTTGAAGAGATAAAAAGTAAACTAATAATGCATCTGTATGTAAATTCTGGGAACTAACATAGTGGACAAAACCCCATTTTCACTTAAATAAAACGTTCCCTTTCAAACCTAAATTAACTTACGTAAAATGCAGACCCAGGCACAGCCAAGCCTTCTCGGCCCAGACCATAAACCAAACTCGCCAGGCACGCCAGGGACGCCACCCATCCTGCTGTTACTACTATCGGGGACATTGAGATTTTACAGTCAATGCGGAACAACATGTACCCGGCCATTATTCCTATCAGGTACGGACCTATCCTCAGCCAAGGTTTGTCGTAAAGCTGATCGAATAGAGCAAACGGTTCCTCCACTCTCGCAATGTAGTCCCATTTCATAGCGATTATGAAGGATACAATCCACGACGCCAACATTAGCACACCGATTGATACGGCAGCGAATTTTACATGTTTAGGGCCTCTAAAAATATAACATTAGCTGCATTTGAAATCAAAGTTAATTTTAAACGAAATATCCTTTCAGAATATCTATTTTATGAACATAAAAACTAAACAAAAACTTAAAGCAAAGTATCAAATAGTTACAGTTACAAGTTGTTCCTATTTTCAAAAAAAAAACGTGATTTTGGTCTATAATTTTTCACTAAAATAAATGTCTGTAATTTAATTATTTCAATTTTATTGAACTATTGATTTTGACATTTTTGTAGTTCCAAGATAGTGTGTAATTCTTCAATTCAAAAAATAGAAGATGTAAGTATTAAGAAATAACATTCTTTTTTAATTTTTGTAAAAGTAGTCATCATGAAAGTAAACGAAATATGTATTAATAATTAAAATAGTTTAACCGCAAGCTAATTAGTCTAGCAATCGAAATTTTGCTTATGCGTCGTTTACGATTACTGCAGCAGGATATAACTTCCTTTCAATGTTGAAATCAGTCTAATTTAAACACGATTGTTTGCTTAAATTACTCTAATCGAATCTACTAAGTTTTAGATAAATAAGAAAGATATGATTTTATCCTTGCATTTTATTTCATCAAGATACTAAACATTTTGGAGCTGCTTGGAGCATACACCTAATAATTTTATGTTAAAAAATTTCAAGGCAATTCTAATTAATGTGTTTATTCATTCAATAATATATCTAGATATGTTTATAATGAAATGATTAATATCCATTGGGGTATCTCATTTCAAGCTGTCTGTCTCAAATGTTGTTAAAGTTAGAGCGAATATCGATGAGATAGATGAACAAATGTTCGTGTTTTGGTAGGAAAATTATTACAGTTCACTGCAACTGAGTGTTGTTACACGTAGCAAGACATTGTCTTGATGAAAACCTAGATTTAAAAGCACATAAAATCAATATCATTAAACATGCATTCTCCTAGTCCAACGTTACAACAAAGATATTCTGAAACCTCTTATCACCACTTGTAAACTAAATTCCTTTTTGTGCATAAAGAATGGGGTCTGCTATAAGTTAGTCCCTCTTATCCAGTTGTACTGGATACAGTGTTTCAGGAAAATAATGTTCAGCTACATGTACTATCCACATATCGTATCTCACCTTCATCAAATGTATAATAATAAATACTACTATTTGCATACATCAGTTTATTTTATGTTGTTATTTGGCTAATATTTAAGATTTTAGTTTACTTTGTCTTATACAAAAACGACACAATAGTATATTAAATAACAAGGCTTGAAAACGACTCTTTGCATACGAGCGAGACATATTGGTGCAGAGAAGTCGAGCGAGTGTACAAAGAGGTTTTTTACGATACTTTTTATACGACTGCAAACAGAGACCACAAAAATCAAATTTTAATTTAAATCGTTTTTATTACTAAAATTGCCAACGCATTAACAAAATAAATTAAATACAACTTTTAATTTAACTCGTTTTTATTAAGAAAATTGCTATCGCATTAACAAAAGAAACTAATATTTAATATTTATGGTAACATTTGAACATTCCTTCAAGGTTACGCTGGGAAAAACAGTATTATTGTGCACCTTGTTTTCGGTAATAGAGAATATTTTTGGTGTCGTGTTTTTAGTGCAGTTTTTCAGCGTGCGGTC